TTACAGAATGTTCCATCCAATAGCTACAGAATACACATGCTTATTATTTTTTCATCAGTACATAGAACTTCCTTTAGAATAACCCCTACATGAGGCCATAAGGCAATCATCACAAATTAAAAAAAAAATGAAGTCATGTCTTTTATTTTTTTAAAATAATGTAGAATAAAACTAGAAGTTAACAACAAAAGGCATTTTAGAAATTATATAAATGCATGGAGACTGAACAACACACTTTGAGTGAACAGTGGGCCATTGGGGAAGTCAGAAGGAAAACTTAAATTTCTACAAACCAAATGAAAATGGTCACACAATATATTGAAACTTGTGGGATGCAGCAGTCCTAAGAGGGGAGTTCATAGTATTGAGTGCCTACATTTAAAAATGAAAGGTTTCAAATAAGCAACCTAATGCTTATCAGGGACTTGGGAATGGAAGAACAAACCAAACCCCAACTTAATCTAAATAACAGATCAGGACAGAAATAGAGACTAAAAAAACACAAAATAATCGATGAAACAGAGTTGGTTTTTTGAAAAGAGAAACAGAATTGACAAACCTTCATCTAGACTAACCAAGAAAAAGGGAGAAAATATAAATAAGAGATGAAAAAGGATGCATTACAATCAATACTTCAAAGGTACAAGGAATCATGAGGGATTATCATGAAAAACTATATGCTAATATATTGAAAATTTAGAAGGAATAGACAGATTTCTAGACATATATAAACTATCCAAATTGAATCAAAGGGGCATACAAACCTGAATAAACTAATAACATACAATGAAACTGAAACAGTAATAAAATATTCCAACAAAGAAAAGCCCAGGATTGGACAACTTGGCTGCTAAATTTTACCAAACTTTTAAAGAAAAAACTAACACCAATACTTCACAAACTATTCTGTAGAATTTGAAAGGAGGGTACCTATTCAAATTTATTCTGGAAGTCCAGCATAGGCCAGGTTACCAAAGTCAGACAAGAAAACACACACACACACACACACACACACACACACACACACAAAACCCTCTAGACCAATATCCCTGATGAATACAGATGCAAAACTCTCAATATGATACTAGCAGAATTCAGCAGCACATCAAAAAGATCATCCACTATGATAATGTTGGTTTCATCCTAGGGATGCAAGGATGGTTCAATATGCATCAACAAAAAGCAGAATAAAAATCATATGATCATCTAAATAGATGCAGAAAAATAATCAGATAAAATTTGACCACCCTTCATATAAAAAGCTCTGAACAAATTATAGAAGAATATAAAGGATAATTATGACAACCCCACAGCCAGCATGACACTGAAGGGGGAAAGCTAAAACATTTTCTCTAAGATCAGGAAGAAGACAAGGCTCTAACTGCTCTAACTGTCCACTCTAACTGCTCTTATTTAATATGGGACTAAGAGTTTTAGATAGAGAAATTAGGTGAGAAAAATGAATAAAAAAGTACAAATAAGAAGAGAGGAAGTCAGATTATCCCTGTTTACATTATTCTATAAATAGATAAACTTAACATTTCCACCAAAGACCCATTAGAACTGATACACACGTTCTATAAGACAGCAGGATACAAAATCAAGGCACAAAAATCAGTAGCTTTTCTGTACACCAATAATGAATTTTCTTAGGAACAAATCATGAAAGCCACTCCAATCTGAATAGCTACAAAAATAAAAAATATCTAGGAATAAACTTAACTAAGGAAATGAAAGCCCTCTACAATGAAAATTATAAAATATGAATGAAAGAAATTGGAGAAGACCACACAAAAAAGTTGAAAAACCTCTCATGTTCATTGACTAGCATAATTAATATCAGTAAAATATCCATAATACCCAAAGTTATATACAGAGTCAATCCAATCTCTGTCCAAATACCAGTGGATTTATTTTTCATAGAACTAGAAATAAAACTTTATTGGCATAAAAATAGACACATCATCCAGTAGAACAGAATAGAAATCCCAGAAACAAATCTTTATATCTACAACCAAATAATTATCAGTGAAGGCACTAAGAACATTCATTGGAAAAGGGACCATCTCTTCGATAAATAGTGCTGGAAAAAAACTGAATATCTGCATGGAGAAAATTGAAACATGACCCCTGTCTCTCACCCTGTACAAGAATCAACTCAAAGTGGGTCAAATGGATAAGACCTGAAACTTCAAAACTTCTAGAAAACAACACAACAATGATTTTCCAAATAGGACTTCCAAAGCACAGGAAACAAAAGCTAATACTAAAAAATAGTATTACAGCAAATTAAAAAGATTCTGCACCACAAAGAAAACAGAGCAAAGGGAGAACCTATATAGAATGGGACAAAATATTTGCTAGTTGTTCATCACATGGAGGATCCAGAATATATAAAGAACTCAAAATGTTTAACATCAAAAGAACAGGAAAGGGCTGGGAATATAGCTTAGTGGCAGAGCACTTGCCTAGCATGTGTGAGGCACTGAGTTTCATCCTTAGCATCATATAAAAATAAAACAAGTAAAATAAAGGTATTCTGTCCATCTATAACTACAAAAACATTTTTAAAAAAGTAAACCAATGGAAAAAAATGAGAAAATAATTTGAATAGATACTTCTCAAAAGAAATAGTACAGAATAAATGTGTGAAATAGATGTGTGGCAAATAAATATATGAAAAAATATCTTTAACCATCAGGGAGATATAAACCAAAATCATGAAGAGGTATCATCTCATCTCAGAATGGTTATTATAAGAAACAATAATAACAAATGCTGTGGGTTGGGGATAAAAGCAAACTCATATACACCCTTACTGAGAATGTAAATTAGTATAGCCACTATGGAAAACAGTATGAAGTTTCTTAAAAAAATAAAAAAAAATAGATCTACCATATGATCCAGATATCCCACTTTTGGGTACATACCCCAAAGAAAATGAAATCAGCATACCAAGGAGACACTTGTACACCCTGTATTTTACGTGGCACTATTCACAATAGCTAAGATAGTGAAATCAACCTAGGTGCCCTTCAACCAATGAATGGATAAAGAAAACACACACACACACACACACACACACACACAATGAAGAATTATTCAACTATAAAGAAGAATGAAATCCTGTCATTTGCAGCAAAATGGGTGGAACTGGAAGTAATTATGTTAACTGAAATAAGCCAGGCAGAGAAAGTCAAGTACTCTATGTTCTCATACACATACGTTTAAAAAAAAAAAGTCAACCAGAAAATATAAGAGTGATTACTAGAGATTGTAAGGGGAGGGGTGGGAAAAGGGAGGTTTTGGTTTGATCAGTGCACATTGTAGGTATGTGTGGAAATATCACACTGAACTCCATTAATACATACAATAAATACATATTATCAAAACTAAATAAAGGCCTAAGCTGTCTAAATAAGATGCACCTGCCGGCCAGATCTAGCTGTCGCAGGTTGCTGAGATCCTTTATCTGGATAACCTGAGGGGTCCTTCCAGTTCATAGTGGTCCCCATTATCTTGTGACTTGACTTAGGCCTCTCTCTTTTTTCTTTTTCCCACTTTTCCCCTCTTTCCTCACCCCCGCTATTCCTTTTCTTCTACTCCCTCTTTCTCCTCCCCTCCCCCTCCTCTGTATTTCACCTTTCCCTTTAATTGTGGTTAAATATTCCTAACACAAAACTTACCATCTTAACCACCTTTAGGTGTACAGTTCAGTGGTAGTAACTACAATCACATTGTTAGGTAACCATGACCACCATCCATCTCCAGAAATCTGTCATCTTGTAAAACTGAAACTTGGAACTCACAAAATAATAACTCCCATTCCTTCCTCCTTCCAGCCCCTGGAAAACCCCATTCTATTTTCTCTCTCTATGTTACTGACAACTACAGGTACCTCATAACATGGAACCACATGGTATCTCATTTTGTGGTTTGTTTCACTTAGCCTAATGTCTTCAAAGTTCATCCATGTTGTGGCATGTGTCAGAATTTCCTACATTTTGGCCAGGCATGGTGGTACACCCCTGTAATCCCAGTGGCTCTGGAGGCCGAGGCAGGAGGATCACCAGTTCAAAGCCAGCCTCAGCAACTTAGTGAGACCCCAAGAAATTCAGAGAGACTCTGTCTCTAAATAAAATATATGAAAGGACCGGAGATGTGGCTCAGTGTTTGAACGCCCCTAGGTTCAATTCCCAGTACCAAAAAAGGAAGAAAAAAAGAATTTCCTATATTTTAAAGGATGAGTAATATTTCATTGCATGGATCTAGAACATTTTGTTTATACATTTTTTTCTCTTGATGTACAATTAGGTTGTTTATGTTCTTTACCTATAATGAATAATACTGCCATGAACAAGAGTACAGATATCTCTTGAACTCCCTGCTTCCAAATTCTTTGTTTTTTAAGTCAGATATTTTTTAATCCCATTTTGCAATTAAGGAAAATGAGGTACAGAGGCTGGGTGGCTTGGTTAAGTTCTCATGAGTCAGCAACTGAGAATTTAAGCTGAGGACTTGACCTGTAGGTCACCATCCCTAAAAACGGGATGCAATGCAGTAGAGGCTTACTGCGTATCACTTCTGATGCTAAAATTCAAAACTAGACAGTTACTTCCATAGTAAGATATAACTTAAATTCAGTCTCTTGTCTTTTACTACCCAAGGGTTCTTGGGCAGATTATTTCATCTATCTTAGCCTCTGTTTCCTGAGCTGTAGAATAGTGCTGATGACTTATCCTTTAATGTGCTGCTTCTAAATTCTTTTGGATATAAACCCAAAAGTGACATGGTGCTCACTTCTTTATGTTCATGTTTTTTTTCCCTTCCTCCTTCCTCTTTACACTGTGATATTTTTGTAGGTCCTGCCTCTGGAAAACAAGATGAAGGATGCCAGCCGCTTCCCAGCCATCCTGTCTTTGGGATTGTCCATCGTCACCGCCCTGTACACCAGCATTGGAACTCTGGGATACCTGCGTTTTGGGGATGACATCAAGGCCAGCATAACCCTTAACCTGCCCAATTGCTGGTACCTTCATAGGCGGCAGGGATTGAGGGATGGATGGGAGCGTGTAGATCTCTTCCACTTCCCTTCTACAGCTGGAACACACCAAAGTCTAGAGAAACTCCCTCATGGAGAAGTGGAGTTGTTACTGGAAACTTGGGCTCAGTGTTCCTTCTTCAACAAGAGCTTCCCACATTGTTAGGCCTTGTATTTCAGTGTGAAGGAGGACATGCTTTAAGAAGAGAGAATGGAAGTGAGAGTCTTGGGTCACCTAAGGGAGGAGTACTGGAGGAAGGTGAGAGGCAGAGAACAGTCAGGAGGTGGCAACTCCTCCAATGCTATTCACTAGGATGTGGAGCCAAGTCTTGCTTGCCTCAGCCAATGGTACACATCACAAGTCAGGGTGGCTAGGATAAGAAAAAGTGCAGAACAAGAACCAACTTGGCGAAACCATTGTAATCTGTAAAAATTTTCTGTCTAAATGTGCCCCAATTCATGGAGTTAGATGCTGCGGACTTCAATAGTGCCATGTTTAAATAGCCACATGAAGCCACATTTTGCAGCATTTTGTCCCCAAAAGGATGATGACATTAATAATAGGGTGTCTTTTTTTTTTAAGCAGATAGTTAATTTGCTTAAACTGGGGCTCCTTTTCCCAAGGTGATAAATGTTATTCATCAACCTGTTACTGTGTGCTAATTATACACAGATGCCAGTCTAAATACATGGGGTTGTAAACAAGTGTGGACGATGATCTTGGAGCTTCACTAGCTTCAGTAGCTTATGATCCATCCAGTGGCAATGGTAGGCAGTATACTTTTGCAAACTATTCCATACACCAGGAAAGGAAGATTTCCAGAGCAACAGACAGGCCGGGGGACTTCTGAGGAAAGAAGGCACACCAGAATGAGACAGTGGGGAAAGCAGTTGTCCAATGAAACCACACTGGTGCTCCTGGGGCCAAGTCCCAGAAGGACTTCCTACGTGCTAGTCCTCATGGATGATTAACTTAACTTCTCTCAATGTTCTCATCGATAAGGCAGATTGCCATGGGGATTAATACACATTGGATGGTGTATCTAAAAGCATCCAGCTCGTGGTACCTGCTTAAAAGAAAGGAATTTCAAAATATCAGTGGGGTTTGAACCACTGAAAATGGAGTAAACAGGGTGTTCTTGGGAGCAGGACTAGTGTAAGAAACACAGAAATGTGGAAGTTAGCCTTTTTAAGGAGTGGCCTAAACACACACACACTTGCACACACACACACACACACAAATGTGAGCATCTGCGTGCTTGTGTGTGTATGTGTATACACACACACATGCACTCACACTCACACACACACACACTTCTTAAACACGTGCGATGGATCTACAACATTAGTGGATGAAAGGGAAGTACTCATATTTCCACAGGTCAAACAAAACTTTGATGGAACTCAACCTTTCCTGAGGCCTCTCTCTGCCCCATAGCTCAAAGTCTGCAGATGACCTCATTTTTCCTTTAATTGGCCTCCCCACCCACCCCGAGACTTTGTAGAACTCCACTTGTAAACTGTATCTTCCCCCAAGTATTTGGCATTCTGTAGTTCCCTCAACCAACCAGAAGTATTTGTTGAGGACCTGTTATGTTCCAAGAACTTTGAAGGATCCAGAGAATTCCTGAGGGCTGACAGATCACAAACCACGAGAGTCTAAAGACCAGAACTTTTTGGTCTTAGCCACATATCAATTTTCTCCCTGGGAAAGGTATCTGGCCTGAGCCTCTCTTTCCTAAAATCTGAAACTGAGCATCAAGTGGTTGGTAAAGGTACTGTTCATATAAATGTACTCAAGTTTCTTTACATTTCATCTAGAGACGACTCTTCCACCTGAATCCATTGTGCTTCACTCTAGTTTTACTGCATGATCTGGTGTAATTTCCTCTGGATTCTTAGAAGGATCCTCTCCATCATTTTCAGATAGGGCAACAGTAGCTCAAGGCATTGTCCCAAGATCAGAGGCTAGTATTTGTAGGAGCCCAAGTGTCCAAGTGAAGTGGCCGTGGAGACCATGACTCTGGCTTGTCTTGCAGGCTATACCAGTCGGTCAAGCTCCTCTACATCATTGGAATCCTGTGCACCTACGCCTTGCAGTTCTATGTCCCTGCAGAAATCATCATCCCCTTTACTGTCTCCCGGGTGTCAAAGCGTTGGTCACTGCTTGTGGACCTGTCCATGCGCTTTGCCCTGGTCTGCCTGACATGTGAGTAGAATACAGAGCACAATGTTCCTGTCCACCTTTGCTTGATCAGGAATCAGTCAAATGTTAGAGCATAGTCATGAAAAACAGCACTTATTAATCTCTTACTGTATTTCTGGGGCTGTACTTAAGCTTTACCTGTATTAACTCCTTTAAGCCTCAAGAACAACCCTACTAACAAGCCAAAGGAAAAATGACAGCAGCTTATCAAATAATCAGAAGATATTGATTGAACACTGTGTGCCAGGCACTGTGCTAAGTAAGCATCTTCTAGATCATATTTCATGATATTTTATTCAGTCCCCATGAGAACTCTCATAAAATAGGACTGGGCTAAGCCCCACTTTACAAAAGAGGAAACTGGGGACAGCAGGTAATCAATAATTATACAGTAAATGTCAGAAGTGGGATCTGAACCCAAGTCATCTAAGCCCAGAGCCAGCACCCTTCACCTCCAAGGCAGACATTGAAACTGGGCAACCATTAGGTCCAATCTGACCACAGCTTTGACCTGCCTAAGGATGCATAAATTTGGGCTAACATTAAAAATGTGTACTTCAGTGGCCTATGGATTATTGTAAGCTAAAAACATTTGTACAAACAGAAGCTGCAGAAAATAGCATTATCTCAACTTCTTTTGCTGACTTCAGGGGGACAACCTGAAAAATACAACTTTCATAAGTCTCTCTCTAGGAGTTTTATACCAGAGACTAACCATTGTCACTGGAATAGATAAAACTGCTTAAAAAAAAAACTTCTCAGGAACTGTCAAACTTTCCAGTTCTTATTAAATGGTTACCTAAATCCATGTCTTTGGCTGGTCTGAAAGCTAATGCATATGAAGTTTCTGGGGTCATAAATAAGCTGTTTTTTTTTCTCTTGCTAATCTCTTTGTCATCAGTTAAATTTGCAGACCACCTACCACTGAATCTAAGTTAGCAGAGAAAACATTTTTTTTCTTCCAACAATATGAGTGCATATATTTGAAAAACTGGGAGGGGACATATGAAATTTTTTAATGTATAGCCTCTAATGAGTGTTATTAGAGGTGCTAGAAGACTTTCAAATTTTACCTTCTATAATTTACTTTTTGTGAAACATATGTTTGTTTGTTTAGAAGAGAATTTTAAGAATAAACTCTAAAAGCTTGGCTAAGCCTGAGTTTCTCCATCTCCATCCTTATCATCTCCCATAGGCATCTTGGCCGTCCTCGTCCCCCGTCTGGACCTGGTCCTCTCCCTGGTGGGCTCCGTGAGCAGCAGCGCCCTGGCCCTCATCATCCCCCCGTTGCTGGAGATCACCACCTACTACTCAGAGGGCATGAACCCTCTCACCATCGCCAAGGACGCCCTCATCAGCATCCTGGGCTTTGTGGGCTTTGTGGTGGGGACTTACCAGGCCCTTGATGAACTGATCAAGCCTGAAGACTCTCTCCCCTTTTCCAACTCCACCATTTTTATGCTGTGAGATTGTTGCTGCTCCTCACTCACCAGCATGTGCCTCATAATGATATGGTTCTTTTTTATATGGACAATCTTTGTGTTGCTGTTTTGCCTTTTCTCTGGGCAAAGTCACAGTAAAGCAACCAAGAACTCAGCAGCTATGAGATCTAAACGGTAATTTAAAAAAATTATTGTTTTTGTTGTTTATTCCTCCACCTTCCTCCTCTAGCTTTCCACTATGTTTAGAACTCTCCCATGGAAGGTTCTGGATTCTACCAGAATTTTTTGATGAGGTTCCCACCTTGAGTGGAGCTAGGCAGGAAGAAGCTATGAGGGGGCTCCAGATGGCAGCAACTTGCAGAAGGAGGTGCCACTAGCTAAGGCTGACCATACTGTTGTAGACAAAAGGTTTTCCCTTTTCCTGATCAGTTCAAACAGTAGACTGAGTGGGGACATAACGCACAATTCAGCAAGATATGAAGAACTCCAGCATCAGAAATGGTTAGGTCCAAGATAACCAATATCTCTCAGAAAAGCACCATCCATATTAATTTCCAAACCACTAGATTCAGTTTTAGCCTAGTTCAAAGATCCCAACAGTGAAAAGAATGCACAGGTCTAGATGTGCTGAGAGAAGGAGTGGTAGACCTGAGAAGTATTTGAATAGACTTTACCTCTTAATTCTTGCAATTAACATTCTTGATGATCTTCTGTGTGCCAAGCATAATGCAAGATTCTCATAGTGATTTGGAAAAGGGCCATAAGTTTCTCTTGACCAAATGGACTTGCAGCTCCCTATCAAGAGGTGAGTCTATACCTCCATGCCTTGTATATGATCTTGACCTTTTAACTTGCTTTGGCAAGTGGGACATCAGTAAATGTGATGCAAGCAGAGATTTGGTGATAACTTATGCACGGAGACTTGCATTCTTATTGCTGTATTGAGCTGAGACCATCAAGTGAAAACACCTGGGGCAGCTGACTGGCGGAGAAGAGATGCTGTGGAAGAGAAAACAATCACGCCAGCTGAGCTCTTTCCCCCAGATCAACCAGCCTGTCAAAATGAGAGAGGCCAACCTGGACCACATCCAGCTCCAGTCATAAGACAATAGGAATTGTGTAGAAAGGGGCTAGAGGTGTAGCTCAGTGGTATAGCACAGGTTTAAGCATGAACAAGGTTCTGGGTTCCATCCCAGCACAAAACAAAACAAAACAAAAACAGAAAATAAATTATACAGATCATCAATGGCATTGTAAGAAATAATAAATGTTTGTGGTTTGAATTCATAAGGTGTGGGAGTTTTATGCAGCAAAAGTTGACTGGTAAGTGATGTTTACTAAAGGGGACACACTGATGAATCCAAAAAGAATCCCTCCTCTCATGGAACCAGTCTACTATCTACTGGGAAAGAGTAGCACCATCATAGGTCCTTAAAGGACACTCATTGCTCTGGGGAACCAGGAAGGACTTTGCCCAGGTTATTACCATTGGAAGTTGGGTTTGGAGTAGAACATGGGTCTGATACCCTTGTCACTTGTCACTTGCCATAACAGAGTCTGTTCTCCAGTCTGTCCTTGGCTGGCAGAGACTAGTCAACCTGAGACACCACTCAACTTTCCTGGTGGTGACTGCTCCCCACTCTCATTACTGAACTTGGGGAAATGCTCTTAGGTAGCTGAGCAGATGTGGAAGGCAGTCCTGGGGATTCTCAGCATACGCGTTGGTTCGTGGGGTGATCCATGCTTTTTTCAGCCTTGGTATTAAAAGAACATTTGAAGAGCCCTTCCCCCTTATTTCCATCCATCATCTCTATGCAGCCCAGGGAAGGTGTGAAGGGGAGGAGAAGAGGGGTGACCCCAATTCCCAAGACCTGGTCTGCTGTTTTTGTGTGTTACTTTCTACCTGCTGGACTTCTAGAAGGTACTTCAGAAACACAAGTCCCACTCAGAAGAAGGAAAGGCTGGCCATCCACACCCAGAGTCTGCAGGGTCCTTGCTGGGAGATGGGAGACTCATAGGCTGCACAGTGGGTCCACACTCTACCTTTTCAGTCTGGGGTCATCATTTCCACCCTGGGCTCTCAATCTCATTAGCAAACCCAAAGGACTTCCACAACTTAGTTCAGAGTCTCAGCAACATGGTTTTCCTCTCCTTAAACATTTTTCTCCCACCCTGCTTCACTATTACCCCACCTCTCAAGTTCACCTTTGTTCTGCCCAGGACAAGCCCCTATTTAGTAAGAAGATCAGGTCAGTGTTGGTATTTAGACCAAACTGACTACAGTTAAACCTTGAAAACCAAAAATGAATTGAGCAACATTAATATAACTTATAAAAGCAAGCTAGGGAAACTCCTTAGTAATTGTCAGTAACACCAAACAATGTGGGCATTGTATTTTAAGTGGGAGCATTGTATTAAAGATTTTTGGCAATGTTTGTGTGACTTCCTGCATGACTTTCCCCTCACCTCATTTTACCTCAGATTATTTAACTTTTGAAGCATGCTGTTGGGACAAGGGTCACAGAGATTTTTTTCTCCCTGCAAGGTATTAGATATAAAAGGAATCCGTGAAAAGGGCGAAAACAAAGCAAATCATTCTCTTTTCCACATACTAACCATCATCCTAGAGCTCCTGTCTGCTTGCTTTAAACCCACCAATTAGAACTTCCCAGCCCTCTATTTCTCTCTCATTCCTGCTCTCCACTCACAGGTCAAGTGTGCATGTTCCAAATGGCTCCTCCATTCCCATTGGCTCTGTAAGGCATGCTGTCTTCTTCTCTTTGGAATTTGTAGGCAAATTAAAAACTGCTTCTGTTTCATTTTGAAGTCTCCTGTGATAAGTGATGTTTTCTAAAGGGGACATACTGATGAATCTGTGTTTCACCTGACAGACACACCTGAACCTACCTGTCCTGCATCAGGGCTCACCTAGAGAATGGTAGCCATCTTGGATTTCAACCACTCAGCAGAGACCCCTCAAGACCAATTAGCAAGAAATCACAAGAAAAAGCTTTCAATAAAATAGGAAATACAGATAATTCAATAAATGGCATGGGGGAAAACTAGTTAGCTGTCTGGAAAATGGATTAACGGCCATAATAATAACACTTATTGGAAGCTAATTTCTATTGAAATGCTATATGTGTATTATTAACTCATTCAGTCTTCCAAAAACTATCTGATATTGGTTTTACTATTATAGTCATTTCATAGATGAGGAAAGACACCAAGAGGTTAAGAGATTTGGACAAACCATAAGTGTCAGAACCAGGATTCTAATAATAGTTAAAAGTTAAATACAATACTCTTCCCTTACTTGTGGGGAAGATGTTCCAAGACCCCCAGTTATGCCTGAAACCTCAAATAGTACTGAACCCTATAAAAACTGGATTACCCCATACATATCTATGATAAAGTTCAATTTATGAATTAGTCACAGTAAGAGGTTAACAATAATAGCTAACAATAAAATAGAATGATTATAATATATTGCAATAGAAGTCATGTAAATGTGTTTGCTCTTACGGTTACAAGCACTCTCTGTCTCTGTCTTCCTCAACTGACATGGAGCAGGTACCAACAGAATGTGGCTATACTTAACCAAGGGATGATTAATGTCCTGGGCAGGATGGCTCAAGATTTCATCCAATTACTCAGATTGGCAATTTAAAACTTATGAATTATTTCTGGAATTTTCTATTCATATTTTCGGATCACAGTTGACCACAAGTAACTGAAACTGTGGATAAGCAGGTGATGCTTATTTAAAATAAAATTTTTAATAATCATTTTTAAATGACATAACTGAAAACATTTTACAATTTTGATGCAGTAAATCCTTTCAATATGAAACCAAAGTGAAAAAAGATTAAGAAATTCGACTCAAACACATTTAAAATTTTAAGAAAAAGCATAGACAATGATAAATGATTATTTCTAATATAAATAAATATTTTCAGACTATATGAAGACAAATACCCAAATGCAAACACACACACACACACACACACACACACA